GACTTACCCGGACGAGGACACTTTTGTTTCTCACTTAAGGAGTTATTTTCTGACTAATCCGTTATACGAGCATTACAAATCAGACGTTGCTATTAGCAACAACACCATCACGTCCTCGCGATTTTCCGTACAATCTCGATACGTTAAATCGGCCCAGAATTTTTTGCATCAATCCAGAAAAATAGTCAAAGATTCAAGCCTCCCTATGATTGCGTATCATCCGTCGTTTGTATTCAACGACCACGTTGACGTTATTCTACCCAACACCATACAAAATATTGCGATAGCCGCTGCCGCTATGTTAGTTGTTTCGTTTCTTCTCATTCCTCAACCGATTTGTGCGCTTTACGTCACCCTCACTGTGGCGTCCATAGTTGTTGGCGTCATAGGCTATATGTCATTATGGAGTGTTGGTATAGACTTCGTGTCCATGGTAACAATCGTAGTCTGTATTGGTTTCAGCGTTGATTATTCGGCTCATCTGACGTATGCTTTCGTCATTTCTCCCCGGGATACTCGCAACGGCCGTGCTGTCTACGGTCTGTATTTACTTGGTTTACCCATTGTACAAAGTGTGGTTTCCACCATCATCGCCATCGCTCCCTTATCAACTGCTAACACTTACGTTTTCAGAGCAGTCTTCAAGACGGTATTTTTAGGTATTTTCTTTGGTGGTCTTCATGGTATTTTATTTCTACCTGTTCTTTTATCGCTCGTCGGTCCTAACAAATCACAATCATCGAAACCCAAAGCGGACGAGGAGGGTGCTCTTGGCAAACGAAGGTTACGTATGTGGATGAAAGACCACAGAATGAAACCATCTAAGAAACGCTGCCAGCGAAAAATTACACCCCGCACAGTTAACAATATGAATGACAATGTTTGTTGTTCGCTTACCGATGAATGTGGTTCTTCGTCACCAATCATCCCACCCAAAATTCGAGTGAACGAAGACGTGCCTGACGTTGCAGCAAAGATACAGGAGACAGTCGAAAACAATGCTCCTGTGGCTGACAGCTCTGGGTCGCTCCGGAACAACACCGGCAATGGCTGTGATCAACATACCAACAGTAATACTTAACACAAAGAAACACAGCTACGACATACGACCACCGTGAAATACATGGTAATATTCGTGTGCATGAACTATATACTGAAACTATATGATCTCATTAATATGAGCATAGATTTTCAACTGTTAGAAAACATAGCAACTGTGTGTCTCTGAGGTAAGGACTGTGAACTGATTAGACTTTGGGAATGATTTCAATATTTAGCACTGACCGACCCATATTCGAGGCGGATGCTCCATGTCGGGCTCTGTGCTGTACGTTAAAGGAATGAACACAATAAATCGAATAGGCTTTGTAAATCAAGTGATCTATGCATTATACCAACTTTGAAGGTAAAATACGTGACTTATCAGTGCAATCCCGCACAGGTGACTGGGAAAGTATGTTCACACATCGAGCTCGCAAAACCACGCGATTCGGAAGATGACAATATTTACACCATATGACAATTTTCGAGATCGCAAAACACATACTATTATTTTTCCTTGACTTCTGTAAGCCCTTTCCAACAAAACAATGTATATTTTATATTGTAGAATACACACAAAAACAAAACATCCTGTGAATCTATTTTCTTGTTTTCTGGTGAGTTTAGTTTAATAGTGTTTTGTGAAATTCCCTCACGTGTATGAGATGTTTATTCGTGGTGATTAACATGAGACAATCATCAAAAATCGGGTTGTTTTATTGCACGCGGAATGTCAACAGTAGTATGCGAAGTTACAATCTTGCTCAATATTATTGGTATTTTTGCTAAAAAAAATTGCAAATTAGATAAACTATCCCCTTCTAAAGTTGCGTTTTCAGAGCATTTTATGTATAATGCGATTTGCCATGGCCACGGTGTTTTTAGACATTCCTCATGCGTTAACTATTTACATTTTAAACATTTTACATTCTCAAGCATATATGATTATCAAGGGCCATTTAATAACTATAGAAATTAGCAATTTGTCCGTGAAATTAAACTTGCATATACAATTCTGCATTATGCATAATATACTAAATGTGCATATACTATTATAGCACATTTCTGACACTAATTGGGTCTTCTGGGATGGATTTCACTAAAATTATGTCAGAAACTAATATCCCGTGATATATTAATCGGTGTTATTATCAACGAAATATATAAATTAATAAATGATTCGATGTTATATAGACTCATTACAAATCATTGTCTATCAATGATTTCATATTAACTATTATTAACGAGCCCAATGAAAGCAAGTGTACAATGACAGTGCGAATTAAACAAATGTTTCATTATGATGTTTTTCGAACCCTATACGTAATAATGTGTCTTTGTGCAAACATTTGACAATGAAGTTGAGATGTATGATTGCACAGCACAGATAGCCTAATTCCCCCAACTTTTATCTGATTGGATGAAGATGGATGCCAACATTCAACTATTTTAAATGATGTTAAAAATAATAGTTTATCAATCTATCGATGTTGGTCAGTTCTGTTATTTATCCAACTGACATAACAGGGGTGAATGACAACTTTTGTAACAAATTCACCTCAAATGAGAATGTTGATTGAGACATTGTTTATAACTACTGTACTGAAACTGTGAACATCAATCCAGAAATGGAGTCACTGCGTATGGCGAGCGCAAACGCAAGTGATGAATGTGAGTGAGAAACGAGAAATGACCCTGGTGTTCGAGCCGAAAATACGCTCTAATATCACTGTAATTATTAATATTTGTGTTAATATATATTTTTTTATTATTAGTATATTATATATATATATATTATAATAATCCTATATTAGCACGAGTGTGCTTACTTTAAGTTGTTGTCCCCAGAAGTATGCCGGTCAGGTCACGTCACTATAAACATGGCCACTTCATACGTAGACATGATTGTGATATTATAATCGTGGTCACACTTTGGATTTCTTGTAGAACAGCAATTTAAAATTTAATAGTTACCAAGATAATACTTTTTCAAACATAAACTTGTGCAAAATCCTAACCTACATCAATAGTAACCTCGTCATCATATTTAATTAAATACCGCTTTGCAAGCTGCCCAATATTCATAAATGTGAAATATATATAGCAAAAACGAAAGACCAATCAAATCTAAATAAAAAATGTTTTCCGACCATAGGTTATGGTCATATGATTATGACCGTGGTCAATCTGGCTAGATGCTAGG